TATTAACTTTATCACAGTTCATTAGGAACGTGGTTATACTATAGCAATTCACAGATCATTATTGCCTTCAATATATATTTTTTACGTTCCTTACTAATTTCCGGTGAGAGAGGATCATAAGACGTGTGATTTGTCTTGGTCCGCCATCTTTACCTTGATCATCATCTTCGGCTCACAATACTGAGTTATACTGATCAATGGTGACGTTCCCCCAAACTGATTTTATCTGGATTACTGGGCTGAGTGAAGTAATAGATGCAGTCTTTTAGCACTCTATCTTCATCAAGAACAGAAGAAAGTACCAAGAAAACAATGCATTAGCAAGATTACCGCTTAAGGTTTGTCCATCGCTGAACCGCACATTTTAGTTTCTTTGTCTCTCTAAATGCAAAGGACATATATTTCTGACACACAGATGTCGCTGCCAGTTGCGTGTAGTTCTCAGAAAATATAGATTTCACCAGTAGTCACGTTTCACATCATAAACTTCTTCCTTTTGACAATTATTCAAGTTTAATAATGAATTGTGTAAATATATAATTAACGCAGAGAATACATACCTTATCCCGCGTACTCGTTTCTCTGTGTTTGAGTGCTCATGCAGACGTATTAATTCGTATGATGATCCAAGTTTTAATTTGTTAAGAGAGGTTGTCTTTTTTTTTCTGCACTTCCCAATTAGGTCTAACAAATTATCAACAAATCTAGTATACTGCAATATCGTTGAGATTATGTAATAATTCTATTGAGCATACCTCATAAAGTAAGGAAGCGTAGTTGATTTGAGTTTGTTTTTGGAAGTGCTTCCAGTGGTTATTCTAGCGTTTCATTATTGATGCGTATGGGTGAACGTTTGTTTTTATTAATTTCCTCCAAAACGTTTGAACAGCCATTCTGTATTCATTGTAGCATTGAAAACTAATTTTTATTTCGTTTCAGAAACTTTAACATGTGACATCGTAGATTTTTTTGTTGGGACTACTTTTTACCTAGGTTGTTTCACAACTTGTACATCTGATATATTAATTTTGCAACCTATTACAGCTGATGGATGTAGGATTATGGTCTCACAACCTGTAACATGTGGAATCGTAGATTTTTATTTTTTTTTGTTGGGACTACTTTTTACCTAGGTTGTTTCACAACTTGTACATCTGATATATTAATTTTGTAACCTATTACAGCTGATGGATGTAGGGATACGGTCTCACAACCTATAACATGTGGAATCGCTGTTTTGTTGGCTGCACCTTATCCTGTAATACGTGAGATCATTGTTTTGCCGGTTGCGCCTACTTTGTTCAAATGCATTGAGTTTGCTGTCTCAAATTGTAACATTTGATATGGTTGATTAAATTTAGTCTATCATTTTTGTTGTCGTTACCGTCAATTTAAGTTTTTGTTGAAATTACATTTTTTCATTGTAATTTGTCGTTGTGACCTGTAACATGATATCTTCCAGTCCTGTTACTTAGGTGTACACTTTATCCATATGGTTGAATAATAAAAAAAGTGATTTCGGGTGTTTTGAACAGCCACCTTTGAAAGTTAGTAAATGACCATGACATTAGTTTACTGGATGTGTCACGGAACTCTTACGTATATGACCTACTTATCCGAACCATTTTGGTTCGCCGGTGGGGCAGTGGGAAGTTTATTTATGGACTTACAATGCTTAAATCCGGGGTTCGATTCCCCCCGGTGGATAGAGCAGATAGCCTAATGTGGCTTTGCTTTAAAACAAACAAACCCAATCATTTTGTGGTTTGATGTGGATTGAACAACATTAAAAAAAAGTAAACGTGTTGGAAAATTATTTTATGTTGGCTTTATTAAATATTCAAATGCATTATCTTTTGTTTTCGCCAACAGTTTTGCGAATTAGTATATGTAGTGAATTTCCGTTGTATATTTTGTTTGTACCACGTCTTTCTAGTTATTACTTGAAAGCTTCGTTTTAAAGTGCATGAGTGTATATGCAATATAGTAATTGGATGATCCGTATAAGGTTTCCTGAAAATACGTGTTTTTTAACAACTTTCTGATCAAGAAACGTTATGTCATTAGTACTAGTGGCAAGGGAGGGTGGTTTGTTAAATGCTGTTTATATTGAAGATTAAAAGAACAATTTAGTCACGATTCTCAAAATTGGATTTGTGTTTTAATATAAAATCAGCAGTAAACAACCAATTATAAAGGTGATTCGCTGATAAAACTGCGTTGTGTACATGGCGTTTGTTTATAAGCTGATCACATTATTTGACATTGATTTCGAGAAATATGTAGGAGCTATCTTCACAGATCAGCTGCAGTAATACGGAAATAAAAGTTTATTAAATTGCTGATAAAGTAGAGGATTGGTAAGTGAAGATGTAAACCATGAGCTGATTTTCTGGTGCAAGTTTCATGTTTATAGTGAAAACAATTTACATAATGTATACTAAAATTCAAAATTGAATTACAAATGGATCTCTACGGAAAGCATGTCTTAAAACCTAAAAAGCTACAGTGTACAATTTGTAATATATCGCTTTTTGTTTCTGTAAAAGCACAGCGTTCTACAAGGTAGTAAGCTTTTGCATAATTATTTAAATTTTGGACACTGTAGTAAAATATAGTGTATCCATAAACGTGCATAACAGTTTATTTCATCAGCATATACATTGGGATTTGCTAAGTTACATAATCTCTTCAATACTTAAGTTATCCAAATTTGCTTGAGGGTAACCCAAACATTTGTACAACTAAAAGGGGGTGGAAGATATAAGATTTCACAACATAGGCCTACGAAGTATTAGCTGATGGTAACAATGTAGAAATGATAATAACTAAAAATAAAAGTTACATTATTACTTATTTGTACGGGCCAGATGTGCCTAAAGGTTAGGGTACCGACCTGTTAATTCGAGAGTTCGTTGTTTGTGTCACGTTACCGCAGAAACTCAGAACTTTAGGGACATGGATGCACTGTAAAAATTGGCGGTCAACTTCCATTATTCGGTCAGACAACAGTAGTTCAAAAGCTAAACTAGCGGTTTCCTTCCTTTTTGTCTTGTCCCCTGTGGCTCAGTGGTCAGTCTGAGGGCTTAAAAAGCAGTGGGCAGAGTACAAATAGCTTTAAGCTTAACAACAACAAACCTTCTAGTCTATCAGTCATGATTTCCTATGCGCAAATAGCCCTTGTGTAGCATAGTGTGGAAATTCTAATGTTATATACACACACACATAATGGTATGTTTTATTGTCATTTAAGATAGTGTTTCAACAAATCTAAGTGAACATATTACTTATTTCTTATTTTAATAAACAATTAAAATTATTTACCCTATTTTTTCAAGGTTTACGACGTGTTTCAACAAATTTAAATTAGCATACAGTGTTAGCATGCTATCTATTTTACACTTTTTATATATATATACGATCAAAATTCCTTGCCCTGTTAAAAAAAAAACAACAAAACGATTTACGATTTGTAACTACACCTTGCATTCTCTGAACGTGTTTGACGTACAGCGTACCACTACACGACGTACTGTGTTTCACGTAAAGTGCACCGCTACACGACGAGATGACCTACATATTGATTAATTACGTTTGCACCACATACTCAAGCTTTAGATGTCCCCATGTTGGCGAAACTCAAGAAAATCATTTGGCATTGATCAATTTCTAGGTTTTGGTAAGATGAACAATTATTATTTTTTTCCAATCTCTTTGACTTATTAGCTGTGATGAAAATCAAATATGTTACAAATCTCGTACAGAAATGCAAATAAATGATATCACTCTATGACGTTATATCATTCCGTTGATTTTATTCAATTTCCACGTCTTATAGATAAAACTAATATACACGGTGGTTTCTTGCTAGGCGTAGTCTTTGCTTAGAGCATTCGACGATTCATCTCATAAGAGTGCCCCCTGCTTTTTTTTTTTGTCAACATGTACTTACTACCATGCTTTGTAGACATTGTATCTACTATCATTTGCTAATGGTCGGAATTTGCTTTTGTTAAAAGGGCTATGCTTGCTTATTTATTAAAAATTTAGTAATACTCGGCAAACTTCAACAATAAGACATTGTCTGTTAGCTTCACGTGGTACTCGGCAAATTTCAACAATAAGATCTTGTCTGTTAGCTTTACGTGGTACTCGGAAAACTTCAACATTGTTGAAGTTTTCCGAGTACCACGTAAAGCTAACAGACAATGTCTTATTGTTGAAGTTTGCCGAGTACCACGTAAAGCTAACAGACAATGTCTTATTGTTGAAGTTTTCCGAGTACCACGTAAAGCTAACAGACAATGTCTTATTGTGACCTTTGTTAATAAATTTACTTGGTAATGTGCAATCTTCAACAAGAAGTAGTATCTTAGTATTTCATACAACTCTTCATGTTAATAATAAGGTATTATTTTTAGCATTATATCATCTTTTTGTACTTCAGTAATATAACCGCAGTTCTCAGCGTTTCCCGCAATTCTTCATGCTTCAATAACAAAACCTTGGTTTTAAGCGTTCCATGCAACTTTTTTATACTTCAACTGTATATAGGTCTTTCTTAGCACATTGTGTAATTATATAGACTAGAATTGAAAAGGAAAATAAAACTTTTTTCGTCTTTTGTTTCATACATCAATTAATATCTAACAATTAATGCACTGCTAATAGTATTATATGCTAGTTTTTACACTTGAAAAATAAGACGCAATTAAGTAGTATTATACGTTGCTCTGTAAATTCAGTATTTTTCAAGTTTCTGGGGCGTCTGATCAATGTTTAAGTAAATCATTGTAGAGATTGACAAAATAATCACCACAGCGACGTTTTTCGAAATAGTTTTCTTTCTTGAAATTCAAGGTCACTGACCTATTTGTTTTTAGTTTATGGTTTAACTCAAAAAATGTGCAGTTGTAATTTTAACAAAGTCTATTCACCTGTATGTGTATATAGAAGTAACGAGTTCTTATATATGTCTTCTTTTTTTTCACATTTTACAGGTTATTACAACCCCAATACACTGCAATCCTTCTCTCAAGTTCCCGGTAGGTATTTATAATTTATTAAATATTGAAGAACGTTACGGTTACAATTGTTTCGTATAGTAAAAGGTTGTGATACTTTTGTGATCGCTCTTAAGTGAAAATACTAAGAAAACGAAAGAAATTTAAAAAAAAAATTAAGTGTTGTACTAAACAGTGTGTTGTAAAGTGTATAAAAAAAACATTTTTTATGTAAATTTGCGATTGAAATTATTTTAACGTTTTCATAACCACTGGCATCAGCATATTTTCTCATTTCTTATTACGTGATTTTTTTTCTAAATATTCACCGTTTAATTGGTCGTATATATGACAAATATTAATGTTTTATGCTGAAAAGATGTAGTAAATTTGTTCAGACAGTTTAGGGAAAACCATGCAGCTGTTTATTCAGTGCGTTTCTGAGTGCTTCTATGAAATGAAACAGTGGTCGATTGTGTTTTCAAATTTACAGCATGCATCAAAATATTGATACGTGCCATGTGTTAGATTTACTTTCTCTACCGTTTTGATGTGTCTTTTCTAAACAATATAAAAATAAATCGTGTCACTCCTTCGCCATGATGTCAGGGTGTCTGATCTTTGGTTAGGGGATATTATTAAATGTTTTTTTTTTTTTCATTTGTATAATATATTAAGTTATTACAGATTGATTGTTGTTTTGCCAAGAAGATACTGACACCAAAGAAGTCTGACGAAATTGAAATCAGTTTATAATGTATTGTATGGAATGTTCAACGCGTATGTATATAGATGTAACCACTACATAGATGCTCTACTATTTCTATATTAACAGTCACTCTGTGTGTCTATATCATGGTTGATTAGTTTAACAAAGAAGGCAGTTAGTTGGCTTTAATTTTTGGGATTACATCCTTTCTTTAGTCACTGCCCAGATCAGAAGTCAGATTTGAAATAAACCAGACATCATGAAACGTGTGTTTTTAAATAGAAACTCGTTTCATGAGAATCATTTTCTCTTGTATAATTGTCAAGTTTAAAAGAAAGTTTGAAAGATCTGATTAAAAATCCAAACTCTTCTGTAATTTGAGGTGTTTTTGTTTCACAGCTCAGAAAATCGAAGTTATGCATGCGTGCGTTCGATCATCAGTTTCACGTTTCTTATTATTCGATCATCAGTTTCACATTTCTTACTATTCGGTCATCAATTTTACGTTTTTTACGCCATCATACTTGTTTTTGTCGTAGTACATTTTAACTCTTGAGAAGCTTTTACTGCCTCAGTTTCTATCTTTAATTTTTCCCATTATAAAAAAATTTGAATTTTGAGGAGTTTACAAATTTCAAAGCATTAAGCATACCTTTTTTTATGTTGCACGTGGCTGGTTAAGCTTTAAGTGTAAGAAGCAATGAAACTTCCAGTTTTCTTGACATTAAATGCACAAAGGCTTCAAGAAAATAGCTGGTATTGATCCTCCGATATGCGCAGTGTGTGTGCGTAGACTCAGGAAAAGACGTGGGTACCTTCAGAACAGAAACATATTACTTTCGCTGTTTCGATTGACCTACTTTTCTGATATCCATGTAGTTTTTTTTTCAGGCTTAGAAATACTCAGAAATAAAGTTGCTGATTCAGGCATATTTTGAAACTTTAAAATAAAAACATCAGTGATAATTTAAATATAACGAAGAAGTCAACTTCGTTTATTTATTTATTTTCTTGTGAACGTATATAACTTGTAAAAAAAAAAGAAAAGTTCAGTTGGGTTTGAACTATTTCTTGGCGTGGAGTAAGAATGTGTTTTCATAGGATCATCCCATTAAATTACTAGGAACGCGAAAGAATTTCAAAGCTACTTTTCGGATAAAGTTGTTTTTGTTGTGGATTAAAATGTTGCTCATTCATATATATATATTAATAGTGAGAGAATACTATTTTCTTAGCTATCTTTGATTTTTTAAGATAAAACGAGAGAAAAGACTATCACCTGTGGAAAGCAAAGTGGATCATTCCTTTTACGAAAATAACTTTTATATGTACGCCTAACACAGACGTAAAATATTGTCTTTACGTCCATAATCTTAGAGAAGTGATAATTACAACGTTAATATACAAACCATAATTAAAGTTTATACTCTACATATAAATATCGTATTCGATATTTTCTGCTTTAAAAATAACGTGCTTACGATTCATGAATTTTAAGCAGTTGTATTGTTGATTTTGCGCAAGCTCAGAGTTGTGATAATTGTTGTGTTCAACTTAATACATAATACTCTTCTTTTCTTGTATAACTTTATTTCATATGAAGATTGGGTCAAGCATGGTCTAAACCAGTGCTTCTCAACCATTTCCAATATCATTCGCCCCCTGTAAGTTTTTCACAACAGCTCACTCACCCCAGTTCGAAAAAAAAGGACTAAATTATGACTTAAATATACATCAAACTACAACTAGAATGAATATAACATAAAATAAATAAAACCCCTGGATGAATCATTGACACAGTTGAGAAGCACTGGTCTAGTAGTTAGCATGCCTGGATTGTGAATCCGCGAATTCCTGATGCGCTTCCCGTTACTTCATAACGCTTCCGTACTTTAGGACCTTGCTGTTTTATAAAAGTGATAGTCAAATCGTACATTTCTGTTGACTAGCTATCTTTCCTCTAGTTTATCAGCTCAAAATTAGGGACAAATATGTGTAGATGCCAGATAGCTCTTATGTACTTTTGCGCGAAAATCTGGAGGAAAAACAAAATAGAATATTATGATATAAACTGTTTGATATTTACCTTGAAAATGAGTTTTTCTGTAGACTTGAACGGAGCTACAAATACTGGTTTAACCCTTTTACTGCGGTCATATTAAACTCCGGCGGAATTTTTGCGAGCTGTACACAGCACACTCGCATTCAACTGCCTGAAGTAGACCGTACCCTATATGGCGAATCAGTAGTCAATGAGTTAACCGTATAGTAAATGGCTGTAAGAACGTGTTTTGGAAGGCCTAGCCACATTTTAACCATCTGATATCCTAATTTACTTTAAAAAGTTGAATGTTAAGCTTTTGTTGAGGTCTCTGTTTTGGTTACACTAGTACGAGTGCATTATAAACACTGTTTATTTACTACATCACGTGTTAACTGGACAGATATATTGTTAACGTTTTTGTGCATCTCGGTACGTAGGGGTGATGGGAAAAAGTATATATGATCGAAAAATGGAACTTGCCGCTTGGTTACAAGAAACTTCCAACGGTATATTCTCGTATACGCTGACTGTGTATTAACGGCAGGTTTCGATTTTTTTATTTTTTTATTCTTAATAACTATATGTTAGAGAGCTTCCAGAATAATGTTCCTGAAAGGCGACTAGGGTGGTCCATCTTCCACATTTCTTTCGACATCTGGAGAACATGTCACGTAATTAATCGATTGTTCGAGCCTGGTGAAGGTGCTGATTATATACCTTCGGCAGAATGTGAAACGGAGTTAACTGTTACAAAAGTCTTAGCGCAAACTTGGCTGCACTGCTGTATTATAGTGATTAAAGAGCGCTAGCTTTATCAATGAACTTTTCAACGGTGTTTGACCACGGGTAGCGTTTTCTTAACTATATATATATATATATATACGCGTGTTCTTTCTGTTCTCTTCTCTT